TTGGTGTTATCATAAATAATTCAATAAATGGAAATCAAGAAAATAGAGAAATACAGTATCCTTAAAGAAAGCCCACAAAGACATAGACAATACAGAAGAAAAAACACTAGAAATGTTTCTATAGTTGCTCAATTGTGTTGTCAATCTACTAACTCTAGGTCAAATATGTATTGTGCTACAAACGACACAAGTTGAAAACTGAAAATCTTATACTAGGTTAAGGGCAAAACATCTACATATCTACACATCTACACATCTACTGTATAAATCAACAAATAAACCACAAGGTGCACAACTACACAGGCTGACCAACATTCTTGTAAACGTTTAGGACTACATGTCAATTGCTTTTTGAGCTATGTATATACAAGTTGAAAATTGCAAATATATACTGATTCAAGGACAATGAAAACGCCTTTAAAACAAGCAATTATCGTATTGCAAGCAATACGCAATCCCGTACCTGTTACCTCAGCCATTGGCCATTCAATTATTCCATTGAATGAAGGAATGACACGAATTAACTTAAATCCTTTGAGTTCTTAGTTTGTTTGTATTGTGTGCTAAGTTTCCCTGCAAAGTAAGGAAATTATGTTTATACAACAAATAATCAAAAGATTTATTCTTTTCAGGATGAACATGTATAGCTTATGTTTCAATTTTTCTCTATTTTAAGTAAATTTGTTGGAAAAGTTCAGACTGACAGACACTCTGATGGTAAATCTTTTAATATTCCTGAATGTTATAAGAATATAAAATTATTAAATCAAAATTCTTAACTTAAAAGAAGTTACTCTTGTAAAAAAGATATTAGATTTACGAATATGTCAAATTTTTACTAAGTCAAGGGCAATAACTTTACAAATACTGAAAAAAATCCACCCCCAGGTGCACAACTACACAACATTTTTAAATCAAAATTCTTAACTAAAAAGGAGTTACTCTTGTAAAAAGATGCTAGACTTACGAATATTTCAAATTTTCACTAAGTCAAGGGCAATAATTTTACAAATACTGAAAAAAATCCACAACACCCCCAGGTGCACAACTATACATTCGTAATTGCGAGTTTAGAATTTAAACAAACATTTTTATTCAAAACAAAGTTCCAATATATTTTTCCACATTATTCACATCTGAGGAGCAGGGTATTTGTTTTATTTAGCAAAAGAAGTTTTCCTAGGAAAATTTAACAATATTACAAAATGATTTCGTGACTAGTTTTTGCGTATGTCAGGATTTAAAGCAAAAATGTAAACTGAAACAAGTTTGTCACAGCCACTTAGCTAATTATACAGACTCTGATATAGCAAGGAAATTCCATGTCCTGGAAGCCTTACCGGAACGACAGGATTCATTTGTTTTACATGTGCAGAGACAAAAATGATTCGGAAGCCTCAACGCTTATATCATGATATAAATATCGTGAATTAACAGTAAAGGTATTAATCAGCAAAATATCAATGGTTGAGGGGAGTTCATAATCCTGATATATATGTCAGGTGTCAAGTGCTGTGTGGCAGCTGTAAAAAGTTGCCCCGTACTTCACTTCAGTGTTGTTAAATTTTTATGGTCCTTCGGGATCATTGATGCCAGCACTAGTGTTGAGAATTGAGTACCGCTCAAGCCGGTGCTAAGGGACGTGAGGGATGTTGCACGTATTCATCATCCCTCATGTACAGACTCAATCAAACCGAGTCTGCAATTCTCTTGTAATTTTGTTGCGATTAATGCTTGCGAGGGATCATTTTGTTTCCAGATTTTTATACACATACCGAGCATTATTAATTCAAATGTCATTTATGATCTTGTATGTTGTTATTAAGGATGTAAAAACACTTAAATGAAATTTGATATAATATGTATATATATTTATTTATTCTTCTAAAGCACTTTCCAAACATTTAAGAATATATTTTTAATATAACTGCAAATAGTAATACGCATTATAAGTAATCATATATGTGCATTCATTTCTTATTGAAAAAATTGGCTAAGACTTTATAGAAAATAAAATTTTAATAACCACCCTCTATTTACATGACATGTAAATTCAGAAATATCTTCACAAATAATGCTTTTTGGAACTTTCAATATTGATAAATCTTCATTTAGGCATCATATTAATGATATAAAACCATTAAAAATTTTAGTTACAAGATCTTTAAATCTTTAACAAACATGTATATTGTTCTGATGTTCATATTGCCATAAGATAGAACTTGTTTTAAACTGTTTTGAACAATTACAAATTATTTTGATGATTATTCGCAGTCACAATCATGATCTTCGAGTGGTCTACAATAATAAAATGTTTATGCAATTTGCATATTTATTCACTTCATGGCATATCAATAAGTGTATAACAACTTGATGTATGTATTTGCCTATTATCTTTCTAAGCGATGGAATGTATCGTACAAAAATTACAGAAACACTTCCTAGTTGTGTCAATGCATAATTTTATCTGTATCAGGTAAAATGGGATTCTAATGAAATTTTTTCGTAGGGTTAGCTTTCCTTGATAAGAGAGAGAGAAAAATCAAGATCACCTAAAATTTTAACATATGAAATAATCCATTTGTAAAATAATCATTGCAATATGATAACAAAATACAGTAGTGTTTTCATTTCATTTACAATGCGATGCCAATCCGTGTAGAATCTATTAGCATTAATAAATCTTTACATTTTAGGGTGATAATATACAACTGAATAAAAAGAAATTTCTAATAAAGTCTTTGAAAATATTTATTCCCATGACAAAATAACGCTATAAATAAACGGTATGAGTTATTGAGACCTGGTCCCGTATTAACTAACCATAGATCAGACTCAGAATCTAATTATCCTGATTTTTATTAAATTACAATTGATAGCATTTGCCTTCAATTAAATGAAAGATAACTAAAATGTAAAAAATGCGTGCTTACTCGCAAAGATTCAACCATATTTCTACATGACATTGACAAAACAAATAAATAAAACAATAATGGGCCAAGATCAATATTTGAATCAACTGTAAAATGTCCAAGTCTTGATCAATACCGATAAATTTATTCTTAAATTTCATAAACATATTATTTAGATCCAATTTTATCAAGTACATATTAAATATTAATTCCATGAGGGTAAACAATGAAAAATATTTGACCTTTTATATTTGATCCTGATCCTTTAATCTCAGTGAACACGGGGCCGGTATATCAGCAATTTTTAACAATCACTGTCATCTCAATGTTGAATTGACCATTGAATTGGAAGATTTGGCTCAACATATTCATTTGAAGTCTATTCAATTCTTAAGATATCGACATTCCAAAATTGTAAATTGTTAAACACTAATATTTTTCTATAAAAGCAGGTGTAATTTTCGTAATATTTTGACCCTCCCACGCCCCAAACTTATGCAGAGTAATTTGACACTGGTGCGAACAAGCTATCGAATGATTTGCATTTTACGGGCAAATCTATTGAATTGATAACAATGAACAAGTTATTCATAGATTAATTTGCGCGTTGGGCTTATCGTTTTTGGTTCTGCTTTAAATGGTTATTATGTATTTAAATAGTGTGGTAATTTCGTTTCGGTGTTATTTAGAAGTGGTATTATTATCGTTTTCGAAAACATTTTTGAAGTTAATCTTAAATCACATGTGTTACAGGGACAGACCTTACGTGTTAAAATCAGTAAAATTCATTAAAGTAATAGAATCGGGAAGTGTATTTGTTTTGAATGTAACACCAAATTAATGGTTTCTGTGGCCGATTGGTTATTAAGGTCGATGAATTCAAACCATTTTCCTCTCACCGCTATATGTTTGAACCTCACTCGCCATTTTTAATTTTTCAGTGAAAAAGTTATCCAGCTAGCTCACAGATAGTCGTGGTTCAGGTGCCCGTTTGTGCCTATTATAATGTACGGATGGGGCATATGAGGTCTTCCTCCACCAGTAAAGCTTGAAAATTGCCATATGACCTATACCATGTTGGTGCATAGTTATACTCACCAGATATTTTATTTTAACTCAAGACTAAGTTACTCATGAAAAAATATTACATCCGGTCTTCACTGTTGAAATGTTTTTAATGTTACAAAAACAACAAACAAATGACGCATAAAATCTTTTAATTTTTTTCTTAATTTATCTAAGAATTGATATCGACCGACGACAATATTTTTACTCAACCAGAAATGAATCTGTGCCTGTTTCATTTTAGCATAACTATAGTTATTTGTTTTGGTTAAAATCAATTAAAATTAAAACTATTTGATGAATGCATGTTGGTCAATTCATCATTAAAAGTTACGTAATGCCATCATACAAATGTTTTGCACGCTTTACAGATAAACGCAAAGACTCTGAGCAAGTTTCATGACAATTAGATATACGTTGAGTCGCTTTTATCATTTCATTTAGTTATTGTTACGATATAGGAATTGATGAAGGACAAGATTAAGCGATAAAGATAACAAAAATATTAATGCCGGGCACAAAACAATCAACTTGATTTAATTGTGTGTTTAATTCAGTCAAAACTTATATAGAAGGTATAAGTTTCCCTAATCCTTGTTGGTCTTAAGTCTTATGCTGTTTTCTTTAAATGATTCAAAATTGTTACAATGTTTATTAAAACATTTCATTCTTAAAAAATGTAAATAGCCTCTTTATAAAAAGGTTATACGTAATAAACACATGAAACTGATTTGAATAGTTTCTGATTTAAGATTGTCGTACCTTACATCATAAACTTATGCTTAGCAAAAGCCATCTAAGTTTTTTTTATTAATAATAAAGAAAAAAAATCGTAAAATAGAAAAGTTCAAGGTGGCATTTTTATTACAGAACCTTCTGTAAGCATGATTTAGGAGTTTTTACAAGCAAACACTTCCTTGTTCAAAGCAAAACATGCATTATTCGACATGCAATCTTTTCAACCTGTGCATGACTTTTAAATTCCAGTTACCCGTAAATAATTTGCCACATTGTCCTCCTCTACGATTGGTTAAATGTTTTACAGAAAGTCTTCCTTGTTCCTTGTTTAAAGTATATATAATATGTTGCTTGCAGAATGCAACATTCAGACTTTTGGCTTTGTTCAAGACTTTCATAACTGGATAACAGGTAAGTCTTTTTTGTTTTGTTTTTTCGTCATCAGCAGTTCAAATTTAATGGCAGTAGAAAAAATGCGTATATACTTATATGACGGATACTAATTAATTTTACCAATCTATAATGATATATAAAATTTAATGTGTCTGTGTAGATGTAAAATGTTGATAATTAATATACAGATGTATTTCCATCTGCAGATAGAACAAATTCTAATACATTTTAACTATGCAATTATCTTACCTAATATTTTGTAAAATAAAAATGTTTTTCCCTGTTTTTTGTTTGGTCACCCTGGGCTCCTTGCCACTGGTTCTTGTTGCTGGGTCGTGTTGGGGTTGCGTTTATTGAACGCTCCCTTTCCTTGTTTATCTTGTTTAAAATACATGTATTTTAATTTCTCACTTCAGAAAAACATAAGTCGTGAAAGAATCAACAATGAAACTTTCTCTCATCTCTGGATTTCTGATTGTGTTTGCGGCAACATCTTGTGGCGCTGCAGAGGTTTGTTCAATTTTTACCTGTCTAGAAAACAGAATTATCTTCATTGTATATAATAAAAGTTAATTATTATTAAAAGTAAATACATTTTCTTCCAAAATAATTATACATTCTACATTAATTATAATATTGTGAACTTGTAATATTGCGCTATAATTTGTTATCTAACAATTAATAATACACTCTTCGTAAAGTATAATCAACAAATCAATATAAAGGTGTTACCTTTAGATTTAATTCAAATGTATTTAATAAAGGACACAACCGAGAGCCAACATATAAAAAGCGACACAGGAAAAGAACTCACTCTGAATATCGTTCATAAACAATCAGAAGAAGACATTGATGTGATTGATGACAATGGAGCACCTGTGATTAAAGTCGAAATCATGGAGGAGCATGTAAGATCCTAATCTCATTCACTTATTCAGATATATTCTGAAAATTCATATTAAGAAGAGCAAATAACTTGATATAATTACTCCAATGTAATCAAAATTTAAGTTATTATTTTTGTGCATTTTAATATTGATGATGCTTAACTGAAAATCAGTTTTTTTACACACCCGAGTAACTTAATTTTTCTTGTTGTAACGCTGGGTTTGTTACAGTATCTAACTTAAGTTCTTGTCTACAGAAATAAACATGTGCAATTTCCGATTTCTGCAAATTTATCTTTGGTTAACTCGTAATTGGTTTTGATCAAGTATAATTGCATTATCAAATTACCACTTAGAAACATATTGCACAAAATACAACATTCAAGCTGATTTTAAAGAGCTATTGATCGTAACTTAAATTTTTAAAATTTTGCCACATATATTTTATCTATTTTCTTTTGAATTACAAATATGAAAATATGTTTTCAGGGATATCAAATTGACAAGCCAGCCAATGAAAAAGTTTGTCTCCTGTCTCAGCTAGAAGAGGTTTGTGTTTCTTACAATGCTATTCAAATATTATTTCACATGGACTTTAGTTCACCTTGAAAGATTTTAAGAACACCCCTTTTAGCTTATCTGTCTTTAAAATCCGTCAGAAGCTGGTGTCATTATTTTTGTTACTGTGTCTCTACTATATAAGCTCATATCTTTAATGTCTGCGCTTAATTGTTTTAAGTTAAATAGTCCGTTCAACTTTATCAATTCATACACCCCAATTATCTTTTATCTTATTTCAGTTTGAGAATAAATCTCTCTGTTACGACAGAATGGAGTTTCCTCCTTCGAACACATCACAAACAATACTTGATCACTGCGAGGGTCGACCAGTATATGTTCTTGTGGCAAGAAACTGTAGTGGTGAAGAAATAGTACAGGATGTGGCTCCAGCATCATCAGATGACGAAGGTCATATAACTTGTGTTGAATATTTAACTTCATTTCTCTGCAAATGTCCTCTTCACCCATTTTAAGTGATTATTAACTTTTTACCCTCTTTATAAGTCCAAGAACAGACTAAATGAAACCTAGCCTGTAACTATTTCAATCCAGTCATGTTAAACTACATTCTTGCTTTCATCCCGATGAATGATTCAATATCATTATTGTGGAACATATACGCTGTATTTTGTCAAATTGCAAAAATGCATCTAGTTTGTTGAGTCAGCTTTTCAAACCATTCTCTTTTATAGGTGAAACAAGGGTAAAGAGAAGCTGGCGATGTTACTGGACAGGCTACTACTCTCTCAGATTAGTAAAAGTTACTCGGTGTTGTGGGCGGTACTTCTTTTTCTGCTCTAGAAGGTGTTTTGTAAGATTCGAATGGCGATTGGTGTTTATAAAACTATATCGGTGCTCATTTTCTTGGTAAACTTTCGCCAAATATATACATGCAATCTGCTCTAAAAACGTAATGGACTAAGTATTTTCATCGTATTTTTAAAGTGCACTTTAATGTTTTTATACCCTGTATATAAACTGATATAGAATATAGTAACCATTTTTTGTTTACATGTCCGAAATATCAAAATGAAAGAATTCGTCTTTTTAATGAATTAAGATAATTTCATCCTCTAAAAATTCTAGTTACTTCTAGTTCACAAATTAGAATTGTCTAAAGAAAAAATAATAATGAAACAATTTTGACTGTTCAGTATTTCACGTAAGTAAGCAAACGCTTTTGAAATTGAAATCAAACCAGCACAATCTTAATAGATATGCATTCATTTTTATTTCATTATGCAAAACAACAGTGATATTTTGTTTCTTCTTTCTTGATTTTTATATTATTTTATTTTCTTAATAGCTAGTTGCCAATACTATTCAAACTAGAAATCACATATAACCAATCATATTTTTATTTTAGTGCGTACGTGCGTGTGTGTGTGTGATTACTTTATTTCACTGCTAGCAATTCTTGTAAGATATGTTATTGTAACTAACTGCATTCGGAAAATCCGTTGCTAATGTTTAAAGAAGCTAAGGAGCAACCATGTTGCCAAATATGTTGTACAATTGTATTGTAACTGTTTTAACATGCTTGATGTTTTCTCTCTTTTTATTTGGCAATGAAATCAAATCACATAAATTAAAATAACAATTTTGAAAAGTGTGTCATATTGTAATACTGATATAGATTAATTGCATATACAGTTATTATACCGACAGGATAGTTATTAAAGATGCTTAAAGCTTAAAAAATGTTTGTCTTGTTTTATATATTAGCCACGTCGTGACAAAACCAACATAGTGCGTTTGCGACCAGCATGGATGCTGATCAACCTGTGCATCCATGCTGTTTGCTTACCAACTCTATTACAAGTAGAGAAACTGATAGCGAACAGCATGAATCCTGATCAGACTGCGCGAATGCATGGATCCATGCTGGTTGCAAACGCACTATGCTGGTTTTGTCATGACACGGCTCATATTACTTCATCCCTTCTAAGTTATATTTTTAAACTTAAATGTGTTATAAATGTATTACAAAATATCACACAATAATGCATTGAACCATCTTTGTATGCGTAGCAAAATGAAAGTGTCTATATATGTATATAAAGAGTGTTTGTTTGTATGGACCTAGAATTAAATAAAACGGTGTTTCTATTTCTATCAAATTAAGTAAATTAACATATACCTTACTGTCAGAAGAAATGTATATCTATTAATCTAACCCAATAAACGTATTAGATCCGTAAGTTTTAATATATATGTGTGTAAGCCGCATCAATAGATTGGAAAAGTACATTTGTGTTGTTTTTTGTGTGTTTGCTACTAATAACCTACAGCTGTCATACGTTAATTTCATTCTTCTGGACAACAAGTTAGTTTGACCATGAACAAAAAAAGATCTTGACTTTGTTGAAAGTAATTTAATTTTGATATAGAATTATTATTATTCCTCAAATATTTCTTTTGTAAACAAAATTATTTGAGCATTTCTCAACTGCGTACAAATATAGTAAGCAGATAAAACATGATATGTGCGTGTTTTTTGTTGTTTGGAATTCATTGATGATGAATTATTACTTCTTCAATATAGAACCAGTTTCACTGGTCTTGTAAATGCAATTCATGAACCGATTTTGAATGTCAAATTTAATAACATATACAAGCATACTGTTCTATACAGCTAAATCTGTTCAGTAATAATATATAAATAACACATGGGTTTGTGGGTAACAGTAAAAATATCATCCCGAGGAAAATACTGTTACCCGAGGCGTAAATTAATTGACAACTAAATCTAACTGTAACAAAACTAAACCAAGAGTAACAATAACTAAACTGTCCTTACCTTTAAAGATAACTTTAGGCCTACTTGAGAAGTTTTCTTTTTCTTTTATTCTTTAAGCAAGTGATGATATCTACAAATCATAAACATACAATAAGCTAGGTTTTATTTAGAAAACAAAACACTTACCCATTTACGCGGTTATGATCTGTGAAATCTGATCCTTCTGTTTCCAGAATATTCTGACAAAATAACGATGATATCCTATGTCTGTCCACCATATCTGTAACGTTTCACTGATTAAAATTGTTAAATAATCCTTTGTTGCATGCTTAAATCGTCTGCATGTTCCAGTTTGACACATAATTATTTACATTGCAAATTACTTCCGTTGAAAACGGATGTTCACTTTTTGACTATTCAACAAAAAGATATTTTATAAGCGAAAAGCACACCAGGGTGCGAACAACAAAATTTTATGAGAGAGAAGAAATTGATGTCCTATCGGGGTTTAACGTCGAAATTAAGAATGAATCGAGAAAAAATGGCGGCCATTTTATTTCATTTTATTTAGAAAATAGACCACGTGACCAGATTTTATACTGTTAAAATACTGTTACCTATGTAACAGCACAAAATTCTTAGTCACGTGGTACACTTGCATTAACAGTAAAAATAACTCCCAGAGGCCTATGGGAAATTAGCATAACGAAAAAAGTGAGGGGTAATAATTAGAATTATTTATTGATACCTTACCATTTATTCGCAGTAAAACGCTTCTTTGACGTTTGTCTGGTCACAAAAGGTACTTATTTCAAATCCTCAACCAGAAAATATTTCTAACACATCAGACTGCTACTCAAATTTTGTTAACCACCAGAAGTTTCTCCCTTTATTGTGAAAACTTGAAATATTGGTACGAGATGGTAGTTTGGAGATAATGCTCGTCTTTTTCCGGCAACAAAAAATTAAATAAGGCAAAGATAACAAACTTTCTGATAACTCAAAAAGTACTGAAATATTTTTATGAAACTTGTAATATGAATAGATGGATTAGATGGAAGAATGAAATTATGCACGTCATTTCAAACAGACGTACTAACCCAGCGCAGACGGCAGCTTCCAGATTTCTTATTAAAGATTTTACGCAGTAAAATCTTATTCACTATAGCTTGTTTATATCGTAAACTACAAATTTATGTTTCTGATCATCAACCATATACTTTCTGATCATCAACCACATTACTTTCTGATCATCAACCACATTACTTTCTGATCATCAACCACATTACTTTCTGATCATCAACCACATTACACATGAATAGGTTTTCTTAATAATAACTCTAGCATCAGTTATCAGAATTATCCCCCTTGAACATATAATTTTCATGAAAAAAATGTTTGTTTTCGATAACGTCTTTCTTACTCAAGGTATCTATTTCATACTTCCAGTATACGTTCCTTATTATCATTAGAAATCATGTGTTCGTTAAGATCTTTCCAATTCACCTGGTAAATGTACTCAGCCGGTGTAAAAGGTGGCACTAGGATAAATTGCGATCAAGAGGACCCTGTAAAACAATATCCATTGATTTGTCGTCACCGCCTGACATTTTTGGTATTGGCGAGTAAGCATGTGAGGTGACTAAGACAAAACAAAACTTGAGCCATGTTTCCTTCTCTGCTTAGTCTAGGTTTGTCTAGACTTTACTGACCGACATATACAAGAGCCTTGAGTAGGCCTGGGGGTGAGGTTTCAAGCCAGAAATATTGCTGAGTACGAATGCTACGGGGTAGGCTAAGTTATGATGTGGAGTGGCATCATCTGGGACGGATTGACTGACCCGATTGTGCCGAATAGAGGCAGTACATTTACTTGGATTTTGCCTTGGAAAAAAAGTTGCGTGCCCAATCTAGGATATAAGGGTTATTCCTGTTCTCGAACGCATAATATGCAAAATAAGTAAAATGTTAAACTTTTCCTTCAAACATATTTGTTAAATAGGAATCTTATATTGAAAATAAATTGTACGCAACTACAGTTATCAAATCATTGCCGAAAAGATTCACTTAAATACGTTTGGAGCAAATGTTGACTTGTATGTAATAAATGAAAAAGTAGAAAATAATGATTAAAATTCAGTAATAACTGAAGAGCAAAAATGTTTTCAATCTTACTTTATTTTCAACCAATTTCAATAATACATGTAAGTGCAACTGAGTGCGTAGTATATTAAACGCACTGAAATTTTAACCTTTGTGGGCTTAACATCAAGGTCGAAGTCACAATGAAGCAGGACGAACGTGTGAATTAGTTATAACGTGTATATCAATTTTTTAGATAAAGTTTATTAAATTTATTAAGAAATATAACCGATCAACAAAATTTGAATTAGAAATCTACATTATATTATTGGTACTTGCGGGGTCTGACGCTTTGATGATGTCACAACTCCAAAGATTGGTAAAGTAGGTGCGAAAAATGTCCGACAGAGGCGCATGCGCAAAATGGAAGGTTCTTTTACTTTTTTTCAATTCCGTACAAAGATTTAAGTATTTATCCGGAGAAATTGTTTTATTTAAGGTTTAAATAGATACTTTTATTTAGGCGAATTCAACCAATCTCTTGGACTAAACTGTTTGGTAACATTTTATTGTTGTTGTTAATAGATCCTTTTTTCCGTGTAAATGGAATCATTTTTTATTAATATATCTGATGATAAATTGTTAAGAACTTATCTATAACTTTAAAATACAGTTTTTGTATCCCTGTTTGATACTGGCTTGAATATTCCATTAACTTCTTAAGGTGGAATGAAATCATTTTGGCTATAATTAAAACATAATGGAATTTTCTTTTCTAATGTTTTTTATTTAAAATTGTTTAGAATCATCATTGTCCTAGATTTTTCATGAAATTTATGTTTTAGAAGATGTATTGTGAATATTGAACAGTTCCAGATGTTATTTGTTCTGGGATTTACTTTGTGTATAAATACTAGAGCGATTCTTCGAATTGTATCATTAGTTTATTATCATTATTCAAATTTACCCGTGGCGTTTATCTACTACCATATTTTTTTTCAAAATTATTTTATTATTCTTCACAATGTAGAGTTATTTGTTTTTTTTTCTTTTCTTTTTTGACACTGCACTTTCTCTCACAGGTCTCTGCAACTATGTGTAGTTTTTAATGAGACATCGTCTACAGTTTAGACGGAAAAGCATTTTAACGCATGGGAGATAAATAGATAAATACATCAAATAAGCAAGGTTGAGTTATGGCTCTTGGACAATGCACTTCATCCAAATGATCTCTTTCACCTTATTTATAAAATTTCTTCAATAATTTGTTAATTTGCAGCGATTATATGCTCTCCCTTCAGGAAGCATAAAAGTCAGAAACACGTTCGGGAAGCTGTCAGACATGTTCAATCCCTACAATGAGTTGTTGTCTCTGGGACAATAATTATTTAATAAACTGCATCCGTACAGAAGAACAAATATGAAAATATATATGTCATATAAAAAAATTCTTACAAGAAGTATAAATTGCATATTTGAAGATTATGAAACAGAAGATAATGTAGGCTTTTTTTCGGTTAATATGAATAGCTTAATGATATTATTCACTATTTAAAATATATGGAAAAAGATCTATGCGCAATATCATGTTTAGTGATTCTGATAAAAGCACACATGCGGACATTCAAATGTCATACAATTGGGCCAGGGATATCAGGTGTTTGTTTATTGTTTTCTATCAGATGATCACATGACCGCAAATATATCAACTGATATCAATTACATAACCTTTTGAGGGACACATGGCTTTAGAGATTTTTATTATTTATAAATTCTCACTAAATAAATGTCCCTCGCACAGGAATGACTTAATTAAAGCATTTACATTATTACAAGTAACACATCTCCATTTTATTTCAGTTATATATCGTAGAGCGCACTAGAAAACTCGTTAAAAGCACCTGTTTCTGCCATATCTATATGCCCTCTGTACAAAGAAAATGATCTTAAATATGAATTCTATATGATAATAGAATTGTTATTAAGGTTATCAAAAACAAAAAGTAATAATAATAATTATATCAAAAGCATTCCAAGGAAAAATATAAGAACCTGTAGCGCTGTAGCATAATCTTTTTCTCTTAAATTCGTATAAAAAGTAAAATATCTAGTGCAAAAGCAATTACCAGCAATAGACTTAGGCAAATATAAAATAAACAATCCAATTGCTAGTGCTATTATACCAATGTAATAAAACAAATACCTACAGGTTTTCTTTATGATAGAATTTAACAATCAGAGTACACGTGTTACATTTATAAATTCTTACAACCTGGAAAAAATATGTAATTTGAAATAGAATAAAAACATCAGTACGAGTATATGTGCATGTATCATATGTTGTATTGTCCGACTCGTAATATTACGACTGTGTATTGCCCGACACGTTACCTTACGACTGTGTATTGTCTGACTTGTTATATCACGA